GTTTTGTCACCAAAGCCCCATATACTACCCACCATTGTGACCTGTACGCTCTTGTTGGCTGGCCCTCACTACATATTAGTTGCCAAACCCACTGGCTCCAGGTCATCTATAAATCACTGCTAGGCAAATCCCCGTCTTATCTTAGCTCACTGGTCACCATAGCAACACCCACCCGTAGTCTGCGCTCCAGCAGGTATATCTCACTGGTCATCCCCAATGCCAACACCTCCTTTGGCCGCCATTCCTTTCAGTTCTCTGTTGCCAATGACTGGAACAAACTGCAAAAATCTCTGAAGCTGGAGACTCTTATCTCCCTCACTAACTTTAGGCGTCAGTTGTCAGAGCAGCTTACCAATCACTGCACTTGTACACAGCCCATCTGTAATTAGCCCATCCATCTACCTCATCCCCATATTGTTATTTATTTTGCTAATTTGCACATCATCTTTTGCACATCTATAATTCCAGTGTTAATACGAAATTGTAACTATTTTGCACTATGGCCTATTTATTGCCTTACCTCCATAATTTACTACATTCGCACACACTGTATATATATTTTCTGTTGTATTTTTGACTTTATGTTTTGTTTACCCCATATGTAACTCTGTATTGTTGTTTTTATCGCACTGCTTTGCTTTATCTTGGCCAGGTCGCAGTTGTAAATTAGGTCTGGTGCTGTTTCCCTAGGTCTGGTGCTGTTACCCTAGGTCTGGTGCTGTTTCCCTAGGTCTGGTGCTGTTTCCCTAGGTCTGGTGCTGTTACCCTAGGTCTGGTGCTGTTGCCCTAGGTCTGGTGCTGTTACCCTAGGTCTGGTGCTGTTGCCCTAGGTCTGGTGCTGTTGCCCTAGGTCTGGTGCTGTTGCCCTCGGTCTGGTCCTGTTACCCTAGATCTATTCCTGTTACCCTAGGTCTGAGATTTCCAAGACTAACTGATATGTGATTGACCTTTAGAGAGATTTGCAGGTAGAAATGTTACATGTATAACCTTTAAATACTTCCAGTGCTTCAGTCTTTTGATCGCAGACTATTTTCACACTTCTAAACATAATGGAATAGTTCAGCGAAAGTATGTATTTAGATATTTGTTTCCTTAACTTGTAAGCAGTCTATGGACTGCTCTAAGGAGTAACTGCAATCAGCACCTTGGTTTTGGTAGACAAGTCACTGCCAAATGTTAGCATTTTCAGACGAAAAAATGTATATGAAGTTCACAGTGCAAGGCGGCTGTGTCAGGGCCCTATGCCCATATATAGAGTTCATGCTACACGGCCCTATTCCAAGAAAGGTTGGAGCCCATATAGTGTATGCTCAAAGTTGACAAGCTGCATTATCAACTTCCAACAATGCTCACAATGGACAGTGGCTCATCGGTAATTGACTAAAACCTTTTGCATTCTGTGTTTGTATGGGGCAAGGACCATTCACACTCTGTCACACTTGCACCAACAGAAACACACACAGAAACATACACAAACACACGCATGAATGCACACAGAAACACTGAATACACCTCACTTCACAAATTGTATGATGATCATGTGAGATAAATGGCATGTGAACAAACTGGTATCTGATTGTGTTTTTTCAGAGAGGAGCTTCCATCTCCAGACAGAGCTGGTCTGACACAGAGAAAGACAGAGATAGACACTGACAGTGATACAGATACAGAGACACGGAAAGACGGACAGAGACGACAGAGAGAGCGATCCAGAGAGATGACAGAGAGACTGATCCAGAGAGACGACAGAGAGAGTGATCCAGAGAGACAACAGAGAGACTGATCCAGAGAGACGACAGAGAGATAGTGATCCAGAGAGACGACAGAGAGAGTGATCCAGAGAGACGACAGAGAGTGATCTAGAGACGACAGAGAAGAGAGAGTGACAGAATAAGACACCAGCTGTGATATCTTACTGAAGGTAACACTTCCCCATCATCATTGTAAAGGCTGGAATGGAATTTTTGGAACGGAGTCAAACGTGGTTTCCATATGTTTGATGTGTTTGACAACGTTCCATTGATTCCAATCCAGCAATTACAATGAGCCCATCCTTCTATAGCTCCTCCCACCAGCCTCTACTGCTTTATACGTATATGGATAAGTGAACTTTCCTGTTGCCTGTGACGTGGCGCTTGCAGCACCCTGTGTGGCAGAAAGCACAATTACAGTCTTCCGTCATTGCAATACAGTCGAGTCGAATGAGTTATAATATAAAACACTAAAGATTTTTCAAAAAACTTTTCAGTGAACGTAACTGTAACGCTATTTTAATACAATTATCATCATCATCATCATCATCATAGTGGGATGTTCATTCTGGATTCACCAGGCTAAATTTCCACTACATTATTATTATTATTATTATTATTATTATTATTATTATGTGTTCTATTACTTTTAATTTTAACCTTTATTATAACAGGGAAGACATATTGAGAACTAGGTCTATTTTACAATTGCGCCCTGTTTATACAACATAAATATAACTATATATATATATATATATATATATATATATATATATATATATATATATATATATATAACTATCTATATATATATATATATATATATATATATATATATATATATAGTGGGGGAAAAAAGTATTTAGTCAGCCACCAATTGTGCAAGTTCTCCCACTTAAAAAGATGAGAGAGGCCTGTAATTTTCATCATAGGTACACGTCAACTATGACAGACAAAATGAGAAAAAAAAATCCAGAAAATCACACTGTAGGATTTTTTATGAATTTATTTGCAAATTATGGTGGAAAATAAGTATTTGGTCAATAACAAAAGTTTCTCAATATTTTGTTATATACCCTTTGTTGGCAATGACACAGGTCAAACGTTTTCTGTAAGTCTTCACAAGGTTTTCACATACTGTTGCTGGATTTTGGCCCATTCCTCCATGCAGATCTCCTCTAGAGCAGTGATGTTTTGGGGCTGTCGCTGGGCAACACGGACTTTCAACTCCTCCAAAGATTTTCTATGGGGTTGAGATCTGGAGACTGGCTAGGCCACTCCAGGACCTTGAAATGCTTCTTACGAAGCCACTCCTTCATTGCCCGGGCGGTGTGTTTGGGATCATTGTCATGCTGAAAGACCCAGCCATGTTTCATCTTCAATGCCCTTGCTGATGGAAGGAGGTTTTCACTCAAAATCTCACGATTTGTCTGTCATAGTTGACATGTACCTATGATGAAAATTACAGGCCTCTCTCATCTTTTTAAGTGGGAGAACTTGCACAATTGGTGGCTGACTAAATACGTTTTTTCCCCACTGTATATATATCCTCATCAATCTACACACAATAACCCATAATGACAAAGCGAAAACAGGTTGGGTTTTTTGTGTGCAAATTTGTAAAGAATAATAATCTTAAATACCTTATTTACATAAGTGTTCAGACCCTTTGCTATGAGACTCGAAATGGAGCAGCTGTAAGTGTATATGCACTACTGTAAGATTTGATAGAAATGTTGGTGTTTTATTGTTTTTGTCAGTCACACTGCATGATTTCTCACTTTAGTCATTTTTAGAACCTCTGGTCGAGTTCCTGACCATGGATTCACAGGCATTACATTGCCTCAACCATTGGTTGCGTGCCACGTCATCGACTGTGCAGTCGGGTATCAGATTGCTATATATGTCTACGTACGTCTACGTTTTGAGTGTGCAAGTCAGTATTTATACATTATTCCACTTTCATTTAATCTCTAGTAATAAATTACACACACATAACATTCATCATATTGTAATATATTCATATCAACCAAAACATTCATATTTCTAATGATTCTTTATTACTATAAATTAGTTCATCATAATCTACCTTCAGCGGAACAACAACTCTAACTACCTAGACCCTGCCCCCTTAGTCATACAATCCTCCCAGAATCTTATAGATTGGTCACTATTCCCTGAACTAACATCTCACAATATTATATGACAGGCAGTGTTGTACAAACCCCAACATATCATTACATCAAAAGCTTATTATCCAAACTTCAGATTAAGGCCTCCTGTAGCTCAGTTGGTAGAGCATGGCGCTTGCAACGCCAGGGTTGTGGGTTCGATTCCCACGGGGGGCCAGTATGAATAATGTATGCACTCACTAACTGTAAGTCGCTCAGGATAAGAGCGTCTGCTAAATGACTATAATGTAATGATGTGGTCAGCTCATATGTTAAATACCTCTACAGTCATTATACATCTGCAATTTAGTTGGGCAGGAACTCAACCTCTTTCAAATCTGCCTAAAACACATTTTCTCACCAGAGATGTTTTTCCATCAAACTGACTTATTACAGATAAAAGGTGTGATGACATAGTGCACATAAAAATAACTTTTGCCATTAAATTGAAAAATACAAGTTAAATGGGTTTCCATCATTTTCAGCTCTACTGATGATTTTGTCACAAAAACTGTTGCGTTATTTTGCAAATGTGCCCACTCTGGTCTTGACACGTGCACTTTAACCAACATCTCGCAGATACAGTGTGGGTAGGCTACCTACATTATGAGATTATTATGGATAAGAGTGATATTATTTGTATTTGGTTTAAAGAGTGGTAGTGGTAGGACCACACAACATGTCATCGCGTGACTCCAAGTTTACTTCAATATGATGGTTATTATACAGATATTTGCACATGAAGGGGTTTCCACCACCATTTCTCGCATCATTTATTTTACAGACAGAAAAAGATCCCACCATGTCGAACAAACAAATTGTCTGTCGGCATTAATAAAATTGTATCGGCATTTCATGTTTCCATCAGCCCGGTCGTGACTTTTTTCATGTGTCAGGTAATTGATCTGCAGGAAATGGTTGGATGGAAACGTGGTTATCGTCACCATTATACTCAAAAGTAATTTGAATTTAGATGCTAATTTGACTAACAGTTAAAGCCAAATATGTTGCCTAATCTTCAGAAAACTAGATCAATTCCTTTGATGACTTCAGTGCCGTGATCACCAAGAGGGACGAGATGGAGATCGAGTTCTGCTGCGTCTACCCCAAGAAGGGAAACGTGAGCCTGGAATTCCTGGCCCACAAGATTCCTTACATTTTCATAGAGAAGGGCTTCGGGAAGTTCACCTACCAGTTTGAGTTCTTCCACAGCAGTAGTTTCAACAGGATGGTGGATCCAGCCAGTTACCCAGTGGAGGTGTGTATGTAACGGAGCTAGTTCAGTGAACTATGCTTGCTTAATGTGTTACCTAGCCTGACACCTTAAGTTCAGATGATCCAGACCGATTAGGTTGGGCTAAAACGGTCTTGATTCATGCAGACAGCCCAGATTCATAGAACAAGACATTGCATCGTCTTTACTGCTGTAGGGCGGCAGGCAGCCTAGCGGTTAAGAGCTTTACGGCCTGTAACCGAAAGGTCACTGGTTTGAATCCCCGAGCCGACTAAGTTAAAAATCTGTTGATGTGTCCTTGACCAAGGCACCTAACCGTAATTGCTCCTGTAAGTCACTCTGGATAAAATTCTAAATGATGTACTTTCCCGACGTAAATATAGCTTTATATTGAGTTAGCAAATAAATAATGCCCATTTATCCTAAAGAGGATCTAGCCAATGTAAAGGCTAATTGGTTATGTCACAGATCTAGGATGAGCTTACCTTACCCAAATCTTAACCTTTTGGGTTAAAACTATAAAACTGACCTTAGATTAGTGTCTCTGGACAACATCATCCTCTCTGTGGTTCTAGGTAGAACTGAAGGAGATGGTCTACATGGAGATCACGTCCACGTCCTCGGTCGCCAACACTGAAATGTTTGTGGAGTCCTGCATGGCCACGCCAACAGACAATGACGCGAGCACTACAGCATCATCCAAAACAGGTCAGTGACTAACACCCTGACCAAACCGGTCACAAGTGTGACGCATGCACCAATGTGTGCGCATGTTGATTTTATCTAGCCACCCTCGACACAATCATGACATGCAGGTTAAAATACAAAAACCAACTGTGAACCAACTATATTAATTTGGGGCAGGTCGAAACACACATGAACCATTCATGAACATTTAGCTAGTTAGCTGTTCCTAGCTAGTTTGTCATACAAAATCATGTGTTTCTCTACTCCGACGATTAATCCAAAGATAAAAGGGGAAACTTTGTTAGTTTTTAGTTATTTATCTTGGATTAATCTCACCTCGTTCACCTTACAAGCACCCACATGGGTTTGCATGCTCGTGAAAACCAATGACTAGATGGGAGAGGTGGGACTTGCAGTGTGTCAAGGGTCTCAAACAGTACCAAATTCTAGCGCTCATGCTACGAGCAGTGTGTATGAAATGATTAAGTAACATGTACAGTTCATTTATTTTGCAACGCTTGCACACCCAACACAGCCAGTTTGGTTTCCCTATAGCCCAAAGTCTGGCAGATGGCGATTCTGAGTATTTTATTTTAACCGTCCAAAGGTTAACACTCATATCCCCCGTGGACTGGTTCGTACATAAAACATTCTCCATTCAGGCTGCAAAAGCATCGATTTCCTCTTTAACATAATTTAATGGTGAGAAGGCGGAAAAAAAAAAAACGAGAAATATGCATACTTTCACTATGAAACACCATTTTCCACCTCCATGCTAAAGTGGCTAATGCCTAGGAATGCTATTCCCGGATGTTGCGTATCGCTTTCAGCCAATCAGGTTGCAGCAGTCTGTTGTTTACCCCTGGGGCGTATTCATTCTGCCGATTCTGTTGCAAAACGTTTCTTAAATGGAAGCAAACGGAATGAAACGAGGAGGGATCTAGCTGAATTTGTCAAATTGAAACTCTAATTTTGCTCTGTTTGTAATGAATTCACACCAGGCTGAACGCGGGGCGCAACATCAGGAAGTAGCATTAGCCACTCTAGCATGGTGGTGGAAAGTGGTGTTTCATGAAGAAAGTATGTATATTTTCCCTGTTTTATCCACCTTCTCGCCATTAAATCGAGTTGAATGGAGAATGTTTTATGTATGAACCAGTCCACGGGGGATACTAGTGTGTAGCCGGCTGCATACAGTGCATTTCGACAGATGAAACAACTCAATATCGCTATCTGCCGGCCTTTAGGCTAGTTTCCCTATTAGTCATTAGCTTCACTGTTGTGTATGCTCACATATAGGTTGCATCCCAAATAAGGCTCTGGTCAAAAGTAGTGTACTATGTAGGGAATAAGGTGCCATTTGGGAACAAGACATAGTTTATTGCAGTGCCCATTCCAGGTGAAACATTGCATTTTTGGAATGACCCACTAACTATTCTTTCCACAGCTGCGGTTCATTCTACTCTAGTTCCCAATCCCAGTTCCATTTTGCAATGGAAGCTTTCAAATTCATTGGGATGCATGACCAGGTAAATACAGTGAGATACTAAGGTGGGTTAAGGAGCACCTGGTTGGCTTACACTGCCTGAATGGGTGGGCTATGTGTTTGAAGTTGTTTCACCTATTCAAACCACCCTGTTTATATAAATAGAGACTACATTACTTCAGTAAAGTTAAACAGAGTTTCTCTACCATGTTTTGTGTTTTGAGTTGCAGTTCAGTCACCTCAATTTTCTGTGAGCTTGATTGTGACCTGTGACCCCTCCGGGTGTACATCAGCTGTGCAGTGATCCTGTGTGAGACGGGGAACCCCAACACCCGCTGTGCTCAGGGCTGCATAAATGGCACCACGGCCACAACTCCCCAGCATCACCAAGAGAGAGAGGCCGCCCTGGAGACCAACCCGCACTACATTTCCCAGGGGCCTTTGTGTGTGAGGAGGAGTGCCGACAGCAAAGGTAATCCTGAAAACCTGAATGATTATGTCAGATTTAGATATGGTCATTGACACACGACATAAAATCAAGTGGGATAAAGTATTTAGCCAACAACTGTAAATAATGTGTTATATGCATATCTCATTTCAATCCCTTTTGCATTGAGGAAATACTAATAGTAGAGTAGGCAATCACCCTTTCAATAAATTCCTTTTCCCTCTCCAGCTGCTGATGTGGCTTTGAACCTGAATTTGTTGTTCGTCACTGGCAGCTTCCTGGCAGCAGTCGCCACGGTGTGTGGAGTGGTCATGTACAGATCCAGGGAGTCAAAGGACAAATATCAATCTTGACACACTTTGAGGTGTTTTCTTTTTAACAATCAATACATTTGCTGTACTTAAAGGACCTATATGTAATATTAGTGCATTATAATTTCAGAAAATGTCCATAAAGGTCCAATGCAGACATTTTTATATCAATATCAAATCATTTCTGGGCAACAATTAAGTATCATGCTGTGATTGTTTTCAAAAATAGCTTTTTCTCAAGCAAGAATTTTGCTAGGACTGTGTGAGAGTTGTTTGAGTAGGGAGGGAGAAACTGAAAATTAACTGTTTTTGGCAGAGAGGTTTGGAACTCTCTTTCTTATTGGACTATTAATTAATTTACCACACGGTGATGTCACCATCGAAGGCCAAAACTCCCTCCCAGCAAAACAGGCTGAAGTTTCAGCCGGTCTTTTCAAACAGCTCTTACACTAAAAGTGCATTATTACACAGTATTATTCCAACCTCATAGTGTGGAAATATATATACAATACAGGGAAATCAAGTTTTTGACTGATCAGGGCCTTTAATATATCTACAGTAATAGTGGAATGATAGTGTTTCACACAAAAAAATTATCGCAAAATTGTATTGGGCCCAAACAAAATTACATTCTAGTGGTGCAGCCTTCTTATTGGTCAACAATAGAAGGACCGTCTGTTGTTGTCAAATTGACTGCGGCCAGCAAATCTCTTGTTCTCAAATTGACTGAGGCCAGCAAAGGGCAAGCATCAAACATGTAGAAATCATTCAGCCCCAGTCAATTTGACAAGAGTACATTTGTTTGTTGATCATTAGAATACAATTTTGTATGGGCCCAATAAAAAATGTTGGGCCCACAAATATCTGTAGATACTGTATATTAAGGGAATGCTCTGAAATTACAATGCAAAAATATTACATATAGCTCCTTCCAAATCTATCTGAGGTGGTTTGTAAACTAACTATATCTGTAATTTCTTGTAACATTTAGTGAATTGGGAAAAACTAAGGATTTTAAAAATGAAGGGTTACACTTTGTCTCACAGGAAGTTGGTGGCACCTTAATTGGGGAGGGCGGGCTCATAGTAATGGCTCGAACGGAATAAATTGAATGGTAATCGAACTCATCAAACACATGATTTCCATGTGTTTGATACCATTCCATTCACTCCATTCCAACAATTATTATGAGCCGTCCACCCCTCAGCAGCCTCCTGGGCTTTGTATTAATGACTAAATACGCTCTGTTGCTCTTTTAATTGTCTTATTGATAAGAATTATGGTAAAATCGAATGAGAAATGTGAGAATGAGATTATGAAAGGTTTGGTACAGTATGTTTCACACATTGTCTGCTTCTTACCTATGACCATGTCAAAGATTTAATCACAACTGGATCAGGCCTCTGCCACTAATCTAGGCCCTTAGAAGTGACCCCAGCACAGGAGGTTGGTGCCACCTTAATTGGGGAGGACAGTCTCTTGGTAATGGCTGGAGCGGAATCAGTGGAACGGTATCAAACACATCAAGGGGCAAAATGGGAGTGAGAGAGATATTACAGGATTATGGGTACTAAGCAAGTCTACGTCATGGCTAGTTGGCTACTTCTGGGCTACAGCGCCCAATATCATAAGCTGAGCACTCCAGGTTGTTCACTTTGGCTGCATTATGTAGAGTCATGAATTACAGACACGCTAATACATAGAAGAGGGGAGGGAAAAGAGGGCAATAGCGATGCAAGTCTGGTTCTACTTGAGCCAGCTCTATAGCCCTATATTCAAAAATGACAATGACAGAAGAGCTGGCTAAATCAGAAACACTAGCATCTAGGCTAGGGATATGCTAGCTATTATCAGAAACAGAATGGCATCCAGGTTAAGGATATGCTAACTATTAGCAGAAACAGACTGGCATCCAGGCTAGGAATATCTAACTATTAGCAGAAAAAGACTGACATCTAAGCTATGGATATGCTAACTATTAGCAGAAACAGACTGGCATCCAGGCTAGGGATATGTTAACCTCTTAAGGATCGGACACTTTCTTTAAATTTTCGCCTAAAATGACATACACAAATCTAACTGCCTGTATCTCAGGACCTGAAGCAAGAATATGCATTTCTTGATACCATTTGAAAGGAAACACTTTGAAGTTGGTGGAAATATGAAATTAATGTAGGAGAATATAACACATTAGATCTGGTAAAAGATAATACAAACAAAAAAACATGAGGTTTTATGTTTTTATTTTTTTTATCGTCTTTGCAACGCAAGAGAAAGGCCACAATATAATATTGCAGTTTAGGCACAATTTAGATTCTGGCCACTAGATGGCAGCAGTGTGTGTACAAAGTTTGAGATTGATCCAGTGAAGCATTGCAATACTGGACTATTTCGTATCAAGTCTGCCTAAATGTGCCGAATTGGTCAATTGATACATTTTCAAGTATATAACTATAGAGAACATACAAAAATGATATGGTAATACAAAATGTAAGTTTACACACTCCCAGGAATGTCATTAATGATGGATCATTAGCTTATACACTAACTTTCACACATCTAGATGGCCGGGCGGGGTGGGTGTGGAGCCACAGACAGCAGGGGTTCAAACTGTAGAACCCAGTTCCTACATTCAAATATAAAAATTGATTTCATCAAACAAAACTATGCTACATTTTATCTCTGGGACCCTTAGGATGACAAATCAGAGCAAGATTACTGAATGTAAGTATTATTTACCTTCAGAGGTGAATGTATCAAACCAGTTGCCGTGATACGTTTTTTGTTATTGTGCACGCTCCTCAAACAATAGCATGGTATTTTTTCACTGCAATAGCTACTGTAAATTGGACAGTGCAGTTAGATTAACGATAATGTAAGCTTTCTGCCCATATAAGACATGTCTAGGTCCTGGAAAGTTTGCTTTTACGTACAACAGTCATGCTAATCACATTAGCGCACGTTAGCTCAACCGTCCCGAATGTCCTGTCCCCTTAGCAGAAAAACACCCACAAAGCATAATGTTTCCACCTCCATGTTGGACGGTGGGGATGGTGTTCTTGGGGTCATAGGCAGGATTCCTCCTCCTCCAAACACGGTGAGTTGAGTTGATGCCAAAGAGCTCGATTTTGGTCTCATCTGACCACAACACTTTCACCCAGTTCTCCTCTGAATCATTCAGATGTTCACTGGCAAACTTCAGACCGCCCTGTATATGTGCTTTCTTGAGCAGGGGGACCTTGCGGGCGCTGCAGGATTTCAGTCCTTCACGGCGTAGTGTGTTACCAATTGTTTTCTTGGTGACTATGGTCCCAGCTGCCTTGAGATCATTGACAAGATCCTCCCGTGTAGTTCTGGACTGATTCCATTCTCATGATCATTGCAACTCCAAGAGGTGAGATCTTGCATGGAGCCCCAGGCCGAGGGAGATTGACAGTTATTTTGTGTTTCTTCCATTTGCGAATAATCCCACCCACTGTTGTCACCTTCTCACCAAGCTGCTTGGCGATGGTCTTGTAGCCCATTCCAGCCTTGTGTAGGTCTACAATCTTGTCCCTGACATCCTTGGAGAGCTCTTTGATCTTGGCCATGGTGGAGAGTTTGGAATCTGATTGATTGATTGCTTCTGTGGACAGGTGTCTTTTATACAGGTAACAAACTGAGATTAGGAGCACTCCCTTTAAGAGTGTGCTCCTAATCTCAGCTCGTTACCTGTATAAAAGACACCTGGGAGACAGAAATCTTTCTGATTGAGAGGGGGTCAAATACTTATTTCCCTAATTAAAATGCAAATACATTTATAAAAAAATTTGACATGCGTTTTTTCTGGATTTTTGTTGTTGTTATTCTGTCTCTCACTGTTCAAATAAACCTACCATTCAAATTATAGACTGATCATTTCTTTGTCAGTGGGCAAATGTACAAAATCAGCAGGGGATCAAATACCTCTTTCCCTCACCGTATATATACAGTGGGGAGAACAAGTATTTGATACAGTCCCGATTTTGCAGGTTTTCCTACTTACAAAGCATGTAGAGGTCTGTAATTTTGATCATAGGTACACTTCAACCGTGAGAGACAAAAATCCAGAAAATCACATTGTATGATTTTTAAGTAATTAATTTGAATTTTTTTGCATGACATAAGTATTTGATCACCTACCAACCAGTAAGAATTCCGGCTCTCACAGACCTGTTAGTTTTTCTTTAAGAAGCCCTCCTGTTCTCCACTCATTACCTGTATTAACTGCCACTGTTTGAACTCGTTACCTGTATAAAAGACACCTGTCCACACACTCAATCATACAGACTCCAACCTCTCCACAATGGCCAAGACCAGAGAGCTGTGTAAGAACATCAGGGATAAAATTGTAGACCTGCACAAGGCTGGGATGGGCTACAGGACAATAGGCAAGCAGCTTGGTGAGAAGGCAACAACTGTTGGCGCAAATTATTAGAAAATGGAAGAAGTTCAAGATGACGGTCAATCACCCTCGGTCTGGGGCTCCATGCAAGATCTCACCTCGTGGGGCATCAATGATCATAAGGAAGGTGAGGGATCAGCCCAGAACTACACGGGAGGATCTTGTCAATGATCTCAAGTCAGCTGGGACCATAGTCACCAAGAAAACAATTGGTAACACACTACGCCGTGAAGGACTGAAATCCTGCAGCGCCCGCAAGGTCCCCCTGCTCAAGAAAGCACATATACAGGGCCGTCTGAAGTTTGCCAATGAACATTGAATGATTCAGAGGAGAACTGGGTGAAAGTGTTGTGGTCAGATGAGACCAAAATGGATCTCTTTGGCATCAACTCAACTCGCCGTGTTTGGAGGAGGAGGAATGCTGCCTATGACCCCAAGAACACCATCCCCACCGTCAAACATGGAGATGAAAACATTATGCTTTGGGGGTGTTTTTCTGCTAAGGGGACAGGACAACTTCACCACATCAAAGGGACAATGGACGGGGCCATGTATCATCAAATCTTGGGTGAGAACCTCCTTCCCTCAGCCAGGGCATTGAAAATGGGTCGTGGATTTG